ATGCACTGAAAAATAGTAGAAAAATAAATATTTCAGACATTTTCAGAAAAATATAGAGAGCAGAAGCAGAGAGAGCAGCAGTATGTGTGGAGATGACCGGTCTTTTCTGGTTGTATTCACTATGGATCCCATCATGAGTATAATGCGGCGCGTTCTACCATTGTTTCCTTCACGCCAAACCTGGAACTGACTGCGCCGGTGTACCGGGTCCATCTGAATACATGGAAAACGCTTTGCATGCATTTCTGATGATGATAAAAGGCTCCGGACAGCATCTGGACATGGAACAGTTAAAAAACGCTTGCAAACGCTTATAAATGCGGTTAACCACGTTTACAAGCATTTGGAGTTTGAAACGCCAGTAAAATCTACTTTTTTTTTTTTTTTTTTTTTTTTTTAAGTCCGCAAACGTGCAAACTACAACGAAAAACCCGTAAGTGATCACAAAAAAAGTGCAAGTGCGAACACCACACGAAAAAGTGCACTTAGGGGTGTGCTTGTCCTACCCCTGAAGGGGTTGGACCGTTACCCTGATCCCCCGGGGCACGAAGCTCCTGACAGGGACAAGGTTCCCATTTGGTCCTCCTAGCCAAAAGGCCTGGTGGACCACCGTTCCTTATGCCCAGCCGAAGCCGGACACCCAGTACTAGGCCAGGGGGGCTCTCCCGGAGAGAAAACCCCCCTAGGGATTAGGGGAGGAAGGAACCAAAAGGCCACACAACCTCCCCCTAGACTTCAGGGTAGGCCCGAGGACCCACACCCTCCATCCGTGAAAACACACACATAAGCGAAAGAAAAAGTGACAAACGTGGGAGGTGAAATAAATTAAATAAATAGAAAATAAAAAAGTGGTACCGTGCCAAATTGTGCACAGACCAGGCCCTGAGGCCCGTAGCAAAAATTGCCCTGGTCCTAGCCAAAAGGCCTGGTCCTTAGGGTGCTGTGCAAAAAGAATGTAAAAACAGTGACCATGTGCCATCTTCACACCGTGGGGTCCCACACCCAAGTGTTACTAGTGACACCCCTGAGAGCGTCTACTCAGGGGGCACCGAGTTTGCGGACTTTCTGCCTCCTCAGCCCCAGGCCAGACCAAGGTTGATCCGTCCAAATCAGGAGGTACTGGGTCTTTCCAGCTTTCCCAGAGGAATTACTCCCGGGGCCCCAGCTTAACTTGTGGCGCTCCCCGGTTTCTGTCCCTCCGATACTAGCCTTCCAGACCCCCATCATACCAGTGAGGGTACTATACAACAGCCATCCCCGCAAAGCTAGAATGGCCGGCAGCACCCCCACTGGACACTGATAAGAACAGATACTACACTTGATCTTAGCCAAAATCTACTCCTGAAAGCAAGTTTGGTGCGTTCAAAAAAACGACTGTAAACTGAACTGCCTGTAAAGGACGATGTGTACACGGACACATAGGAGAACATTAGGGGGAGTTCAGGGGCTGCTGAAACAAACGCAGAAAAGCTCCTAAACGTCAGTTTATCAGCCGCTGTGTACATGGAGCCTGAAAGGTAAAAAAAATAAATTTTCATGAAAGAAAAAAAATAACGATTGCATATGCTGTAGCAAACTAAATGTCATCCCGTTCGTGTTTAAACCTCCTGTAATGATTTGTTAATGAACACAGAGCTGGATGTAATGACGCGTGATCCCCATATTCATACATCCATGACACTTTATTTGCTCAGCAGTTTGCGGCTCATTGTTGGGCCTCCTAACAGAGACAAACCCTTGAATGCTTTGTGTTGGAGTGGACGCAGATGTCCCCGGTCTCATGTATGCTTTGTTGGGGCTCCACAAGTGTCCCTGTGTGAGCGGGCGATGCCTCAGTCATCTGTATGAAAGGATGAAATATGAGCGCGGCGCGATGGTTATTTGTATAGAACCTCTTCGCTTCTACTCAATGACTTCTTTTGCAAGCGGCCAATTGTGGGTCGTTTTATTGGCCGATGTCAGTACTGCCGGGACCTTTTTATTTATTTTTGTAGATGGTATTATATTTATTCATGAATTGTTAATAATATGACACTTTTGTGTTTACATTCGGGGATCACCTGCCGAAGGCTCCAGTTTTCTGTGGCGGTTCATTTTGTGCCGTTGTCAGCAGTGCTCTGGAGATTCCTGTAATTGCTGCGGTCTGCTCCTTCTCGGTGGTCCTGACCTGGAGGTTACAGTTCACTTTTGAATGACAATTGCGCGGTCATGCAACAAATTTTATCTTTTTTTTTTTTTAGAGATATAAATCTTTCTTTTGGTGGTATTTAATCATCGCTGGGTTTTATATTTTTTGCTAAACAAACTAAAAAAGTTTTGTTTTCCTAGTTTCTGTTATATAATTTTACAAACAGGTAATTTTTCTCCTTCATGATGTGCGCTGGTTAGGCAGTACTGATGGGCACTGATGAGGCAGCACTAACAGGCTGAACTGATAGGCTGCACTGATGGGCACTGATAGGCTGCACTGATGGGCACTGATAGGCTGCACTGATGGGCACTGACAAGGAGGCACTAATGGGCACCAATAGGCTGCACTGATGGGCACCGATTGGTTGCACTTATGGGCACCAATAGGCAGCACTGAAGGTCACCGATAGGCTTCACTGACGGCACTGACTGGCTGCACTGATGGACACTCACTGACGGCACTGATGGTCACTGACTGGCATCACTGATGGTCACTGACTGGCATCACTGATGGTCACTGACTGGCATCACTGATGGTCACTGACTGGCGGCACTGACGGTCACTGACTGGCGGCACTGACGGTCACTGACTGGCTGCACTGACGGTCACTGACTGGCTGCACTGACGGTCACTGACTGGCTGCACTGACGGTCACTGACTGGCTGCACTGACGGTCACTGACTGACGGTCACTGACTGGCGGCACTGGCGGTCACTGACTGGCGGCACTGGCGGTCACTGACTGGCGGCACTGGCGGTCACTGACTGGCGGCACTGGCGGTCACTGACTGGCGGCACTGACGGTCACTGACTGGCGGCACTGACGGTCACTGACTGGCGGCACTGACGGTCACTGACTGGCGGCACTGACGGACACTGACTGGCGGCACTGACAGACACTGTTGGGGCAGCACTGAAGGACACTGTTGGGGCAGCACTGAAGGGCACTGATAGGCTTCACTGACAGCACTGACTGGCTGCACTGATGGACACTGACTGACGGCACTGATGATCACTGACTGGCATCACTGATGGTCACTGACGGTCACTGACTAGCGGCACTGACGGTCACTGACTGATGGTCACTGACTGGCGGCACTGACGGTCACTGACTGGCGGCACTGACGGTCACTGACTGGCGGCACTGACGGTTACTGACTGGCGGCACTGACGGTCACTGACTGGCGGCACTGACGGTCACTGACTGGCGGCACTGACGAGCACTGACTGGCGGCACTGACGAGCACTGACTGGCGGCACTGACGGTCACTGACTGGCGGCACTGACGGTCACTGACTGGCGGCACTGACGGTCACTGACTGGCGGCACTGACAGACACTGTTGGGGCAGCACTGAAGGACACTGTTGTGGCAACACTGAAGCACACTGTTGTGGCAGCACTGAAGGACACTGTTGTGGCAACACTGAAGGACACTGTTGTGGCAGCACTGAAGCACACTGTTGTGGCAGCACTGAAGGACACTGTTGGGGCAGCACTGAAGCACACTGTTGTGGCAGCACTGAAGGACACTGTTGTGGCAGCACTGAAGGACACTGTTGTGGCAGCACTGAAGGACACTGTTGTGGCAGCACTGAAGGACACTGTTGGGGCAGCACTGATGGACACTGTTGGGGTAGCACTGAAGGACACTGTTGGGGCAGCACTGAAGGACACTGTTGGGGCAGCACTGATGGATACTGTTGGGGCAGCACTGAAGGACACTGTTGGGGCAGCACTGATGGACACTGTTGGGGCTGGGGGCTGCACTGGACTGCCATTTATGGGCTCTTCTCTTTCCTCACACTGTGACAGGGTGAGGAAAGTGCAGCCGATAATCAGCAAGTGTGTTTACATTGTGATCAGTTATGTCATTGGATGCAGCTGATCACGTGGTAACAGGGCGCTGTGATTGGCCCTTTACCATGTCATGTGATCAGCTGTGTCCAACGGACACAGCGATCACAGAGCTCACTGGGTGCGCGCCCCAGGGATCGCGCAGAGGCATGGTTCTGGAGGATGTCATTTGACACCCTCCCAGAACTAGACAACTGCGCTGTAGCCGTCATTTGGCTATAGTCCGGTTGTCAAGTGGTTAATCACCACTGAATCGTGTGCCATGCACTGACATGTCATTCTGGACTCCATGTTCTGTCATCTTCTTTTTTTAAAGTTGAACCCAAATGCAATTATAAAAAAGAAAGAAAAACTAAATTTTGCCCATTTCTATAGATTTATTAAAAATGGCAACATCTCCTTATCATGGGTGTGCTTATACTAGAGTATGCCCGAGCATGTTTGACCCCTAGAGTCCAGTTCACTGGACTAGTCTGATCAGAAGAAGACGCAGAGAGATCCTTGCACTGCGGGTCCTCAGGTACAGCTTCCTATCCAGCAAGGAGAACAGTGAGTAGCACAGTAGTATATATGCTGGGACTAGCAGTCAGATACAGCAGTGCCCTAGATGATCTCACACTGCAGATACACACCTATGAGGCTCCAGAACAGGAGTGCCTAGGTACAGGGAGTCCACTGCTATTTTTACGGAGGAATTAAAAGACAAAAGGTACAATTTCCAGGGTACTAATTAGATACAATTAACATATGTAGACATATCATTTCTAACAGCAATACTTCATTTTTTCTTAATTTTTTATGTTCAGGTCCACACTTGTGGCTTTGTCTGCTTGCAAACACTTTGTTCCACCACCATTCCCAGCAGCGATGATTTTCTGTAGAGACCACTTAAATACTGGAATTCACAGGCAGGTTCTTTTTTTATCCACACTGGATTGTATTACATGTGAAGTGTCTGCTTTCATTTATCCTCAGGCATGCACAGGGATTGCAGGTAGCTGTATTTTCACATGTTAAGGGCATCTAAAGCGTTACTAAACCCCCGACCCTGCATTCACTATATCTGCTCTCCCTGGACCCCCATTCACTATATCCGCTCTCCCCGGACCCTGCATTCACTATATCCGCTCTCCCTGGACCCCGCATTCACTATATCTGCTCTCCCTGGACCCCCATTCACTATATCCGCTCTCCCTGGACCCCCATTCACTATATCCGCTCTCCCTGGACCCCCATTCACTATATCCGCTCTCCCCGGACCCCGCATTCACTATATCCGCTCTCCCCGGACCCCGCATTCACTATATCCGCTCTCCCCGGACCCCGCATTCACTATATCCGCTCTCCCCGGACCCCGCATTCACTATATCCGCTCTCCCCGGACCCCGCATTCACTATATCCGCTCTCCCCGGACCCTGCATTCACTATATCCGCTCTCCCCGGACCCCGCATTCACTATATCCACTCTCCCCGGACCCCGCATTCACTATATCCGCTGTCCCCGGACCCCGCATTCACTATATCCGCTGTCCCCGGACCCCGCATTCACTATATCCGCTCTCCCCGGACCCCGCATTCACTATATCCGCTCTCCCCGGACCCTGCATTCACTATATCCGCTCTCCCCGGACCCCGCATTCACTATATCCACTCTCCCCGGACCCCGCATTCACTATATCCACTCTCCCCGGACCCCGCATTCACTATATCTGGTCTCCCCGGACCCCACATTCACTATATCCGCTCTCCCCGGACCCCGCATTCACTATATCCACTCTCCCCGGACCCCGCATTCACTATATCTGGTCTCCCCGGACCCCGCATTCACTATATCTGGTCTCCCCGGACCCCGCATTCACTATATCCGCTCTCCCCAGACCCTGCATTCACTATATCCGCTCTCCCCGGACCCTGCATTCACTATATCCGCTCTCCCCGGACCCCGCATTCACTATATCCGCTCTCCCCAGACCCTGCATTCACTATATCCACTCTCCCCGGACCCCGCATTCACTATATCCGCTCTCCCCGGACCCCGCATTCACTATATCCGCTCTCCCCGGACCCTGCATTCACTATATCCGCTCTCCCCGGACCCTGCATTCACTATATCCGCTCTCCCTGGACCCCGCATTCACTATATCCGCTCTCCCTGGACCCCGCATTCACTATATCCGCTGTCCCCGGACCCTGCATTCACTATATCCGCTCTCCCCGGACCCCGCATTCACTATATCCGCTCTCCCCGGACCCTGCATTCACTATATCCGCTCTCCTCGGACCCCGCATTCACTATATCCGCTCTCCCCGGACCCCGCATTCACTATATCCGCTCTCCCCGGACCCCGCATTCACTATATCCGCTCTCCCTGGACCCCGCATTCACTATATCCGCTTTCCCCGGACCCCGCATTCACTATATCCGCTCTCCCCCCGGACCCCGCATTCACTATATCCGCTCTCCCCGGACCCCGCATTCACTATATCCGCTCTCCCCGGACCCCGCATTCACTATATCCGCTCTCCCCGGACCCCGCATTCACTATATCCGCTCTCCCCGGACCCCGCATTCACTATATCCGCTCTCCCCGGACCCCGCATTCACTATATCCGCTCTCCCCGGACCCCGCATTCACTATATCCGCTCTCCCCGGACCCTGCATTCCCTATATCAGGTCTTTCCTTTTTTTAGTATACCAAGGTATGGTTGTACGAGGGCGCCACATTTAGTATTTCACTTTGCATTTTCCTTTTCTTTTTTTTTTCCGCTACACATGTATGTTTATAGACAGTTTACGACTGTCTCATTAATTCCCTCAGTTTATATCCAGGAAGCGGTGAAAATCGATGAACAAATTTTCTCAGTTCCAGAGCTTGTGTGCCGTGAAACGGGATCCACCACGGGATAAGGTTTATGGGTTCCTGGCTGTTCCTGCTGGTCCTTCTGGGTATAGAAGCAGGACAGGTGCACCTCATGAAAAAAGAGAGATTTCAGCAAAAGCCTTAACCAGACCAAAACCAATAACCATCAGACGGGGAACTGGGCCACCAAATCCAAACCAGATGGCCGAAAATGAACCCTTCAGTGTCCGATCACTAAATATAAACTGATAGTATTCGGGCGAACCGGGACGTAACCGTACAATTCTACAGAAATATGGGAGGTCAAAGTGTAGGCAAACCCAAATACTGAAGCTGTTCCTTTCTACTTTTATTTATTATTTCAGGTACTTATATAATGACGTCAGTTTACACAGCGCTTTACATATATATTGTACATTCACATCAGTCCCTAACCCTCAAGGGGCGTACAATCTAAGGTCCCTAACCCTCAAGAGGCGTACAATCTAAGGTCCCTAACCCTCAAGAGGCGTACGATCTAAGGTCCCTAACCCTCAAGGGGCGTACAATCTAAGGTCCCTAACCCTCAAGGGGTGTACAACCTAAGGTCCCTAACCCTCAAGAGGCGTACAATCTAAGGTCCCTAACCCTCAAGAGGCGTACGATCTAAGGTCCCTAACCCTCAAGGGGCGTACAATCTAAGGTCCCTAACCCTCAAGGGGCGTACAATCTAAGGTCCCTAACCCTCAAGGGGCGTACAATCTAAGGTCCCTAACCCTCAAGAGGTGTACAATCTAAGGTCCCTAACCCTCAAGGGGCGTACAATCTAACGTCCCTAACCCTCAAGGGGGGTACAATCTAAGGTCCCTAACCCTCAAGGGGCGTACAATCTAAGGTCCCTGACCCTCAGAGGGCGTATAATCTAACGTCCCTAACCCTCAAGTGGCGTACAATCTAAGGTCCCTAACCCTCAAGGGGCGTACAATCTAAGGTCCCTGACCCTCAGAGGGCGTATAATCTAAGGTCCCTAACCCTCAAGGGGTGTATAATCTAAGGTCCCTAACCCTCAAGGGGTGTATAATCTAAGGTCCCTAACCCTCAAGGGGTGTATAATCTAAGGTCCCTAACCCTCAAGGGGTGTATAATCTAACGTCCCTAACCCTCAAGGGGCGTACAATCTAAGGTCCCTAACGGGACAGGTCACAATAAGATCCAAAGCCGGGGAGATGAAGCCCCGTCAAAGGCCCCAGGAACAAACTCAAATAACAGTTCAAATACAAAAGAAAAAAGTTCAATTAGTAATTAACATTGGGAATTGAGGTGACATAAAGGAGATGGCTAAGAAACAGAGAGAGAGGGGAAAGGAAGGGAGACGAGAAAAAAAAAAAAACATGGTGGGAAAAGAACAGAGGAAAAGGTTTTTACTTTAAGTAAGTGACAACGCTACGCTTCCAGCTTCTGGTCCCATGGAAGTGTTGTCACCCTCTACCGTAAGCTCTGGTGGCATCCAGTCTGCCGCAGTCAACACACCCTTTCTGGTTGATTGACAGCTACTCTGACCATTCAGCATCTGAGATTGGGACCTTCTGGTTTTGTTGGTCTAGAGTTATGACTAAAGCAGGCCGTAGACGGTTTTTTTTTTTTTTTTTTTTTGAAAAACGAAAAATCGGTTGTTCAATCAGTCGACATTACCACTATTGGTAAAAAAAAGGTCGGCTGATTTTCGTCCCGTCTACGGCCGGCAATTATATAGAATATATGCAGAAGAAGAAGAAATAGAATATGAAGAAGAGGAAGAAATAGAATATGAAGAAGAAAAAGTTGTAACATTGTATCTATTTGTATCCATTTCGGATACAGATGGTTCTATTCGGATACAAATAGATACAATGTTACTATACTTTTACATGTCAAATATAATATCGGACTGAAATTCTTTTTTTTTTCTTCTTCATATTCTATTTCTGCTTTTCATTCATATTCTATTTTTTTCCTTTTCTTCTTTTCCTTCTTCTTTCATGTCACTGCTCATGCGCATTTTTAAATATCGGAAAAAGATCGGCAAATGTGTCCTTCATTGCCGTGAAAATCGGCAGAACGACAGTTTTGGCCGATTATTTTCCAGCAGGACTGATAATCTAAAAGGTCAAAAACACGAAAAACGGCCGACCGATTACTGCAGTAACGATCCGAAAATCCTCCGATTTTTTTTTTTTTTTTTTTCCCTGCCGATTTTCGGTCGTTTTTCATTTCGTCTATGGCCCATATAAAGGGCAAGCTCGGTGTTCTGTATTCACGTCCATCATGGACACACACACTCCCTCGTGGTTCCCAAACTGGTGGCCATTTTGCATTGCTAAGATCTGTTGTGAAAAAGCGGATTAGGAGAGCCTTTTCCATGAAGAGCTCTGACAGTTCCTGGAAACTGGTAAATAATATATTGTTCCCGATGTGATAAAGTTTCTGTTCTCCAGCCTGAGATGTGGGAAGCATATTAGTGTCTCGGCCTTATTTCATGCCCGCAGCACAATTCCGCACCTCCCGATCTGTACTTGTTCCGCATTTTAAGAGGATCCCATCCCAGCAGGGAGTCTCTGTTCACTTGGGAGAGCAAGGAGGCCAACGTACTGAGCCACAGCCAAGATCTCAGGAGGCCTATCCCAGAAACAGGGTTTAAAGAAGAACATAATTAAGAAGAAGAATGTTGTTTTCCCGATGGAGAACTGTTGAAATCACGGAATACAATGATCACATGGTATTTATATTTCTTTTGGTAGGACTTGTATGCCAAGCCGGAAAAGTATCTATACCTGCGATCACCCCCTTCAGATAGGCATTGTGACTGCCGGGACAAAACACGGAGCAGGGACTACAGTTCCATCATGGGAGGGAATACGTATTTGTTTCCATGGTCCAGACCTGCTCACTCACACAGGAACAAAAACTGAAATGGACCTGAACTCAAAAAGGAAGATTTGTTCTCATATGAGGCTAAAGCCATTTATAACTCCGCCCCAAATTACATCACCAATCTTGTCTCCAAATCTCACCCAAACCGTCCTCTCCGCTCCTCCCACAACTTCCTACTCTCTAGCTCCCTTGTCTCCTCCTCTCATGCTCATCTCCAGGACTTCTCCAGAGCCTCCCCCATCCTCTGGAACTCTCTACCCCAATCTATCAGACTATCACCTACTCTGCTCACATTTTGGTGATCTCTGAAAACCTCTCTCTTCAGGGAAGCCTATCCTGCCCTCTCTGCCAATCCCTCCACTGGCCTCCACTCAGTGTCCTCCACCCCTCTCTGTCAATCCCTCCACTGTCCTCCACTCAGTGTCCTCCACCCCTCTCTGCCAATCCCTCCACTGGCCTCCACTCAGTGTCCTCCACCCCCTCTCTGCCAATCCTTCCACTGACCTCCATTCAGTGTCCTCCACCCCTCTCTGCCAATCTTTCCACTGGCCTCTACTCAGTGTCCTCCATCCCTCTCTGCCAATCCCTCCACTGACCTTAGATTGTACGCCCCTTGAGGGTTAGGGACCTTAGATTGTACGCCCCTTGAGGGTTAG